GCTATGGAACTTAACCTCCTATTGGTATAATTTTGTTGTGATATGTGTAGTATAGTATTAATAAATCAAAAATATAAAAAAATTGGTAGTGTTAGACCCAGAACATGTGATTAATGAATTACTGATTTCATCATAAGATCATCATCACATGATTGGCAGTCATAATTTTGTCTTGGCTAGAAAGATTACACCAAAGTTGGAATTTCATGCTTATAATAATTATAATATATATATTGCATATATTGATTATAATCAGTATAATCAATATATGTGATATAAGCACTATAATCATTATAAACATGATAATGAATATCAGCATTCTAACAATAGATATAATTTTGCTTATAAATAATCTGTAATTTCATTCTAGTAATAAAGTGGATTTTGACATAAAAAATTAATAAACACCCTATCTTGTATACATCAAAAAAGGTTCTTCTGTAAGTGACTGTAAAGAACCATCGTTATAATAAAATACTTAACCAGAATTAATAAATCTCATCCTTATTAGTACAGTATATCTAAAATAATATGGAATACTGCAATTCTAGAATAGTAGAGTGATAGTCTCGACATGTTGTAGACTATTCAAAATAAGCCAAACCTAAATTGAAATTGTTTACCAAATCTATATGTTTGTTTTGACAAAAACTGTCCAAATGTTACATGAAGCTGACCTTCAATTAGTGACAGACTCACTGAGTTAGGGTATCTCAGTAGTAAAAAAAAATTATAGAAATTGATGAAAGTAAAATTAAAAAATATAAATATAATAAAGAAAAAGAATAGAAGAACAATAGGTTTTTAGTAGTATTGAAAGAGAATCAGATAATTTGTTTTTTGTATTAGTATTAAATCGAATAAAAAAGACCTTATTAAAACTTTTAGAAGAATATGTAGAAAAAGAACCAACAATTTATAGTGACTATTGGTCAGCTTACCAAACAGAAAATTTTAAAAACTATGTATAGAAGTATAGAAAAGTTAATTATTTAAAACATTTTAAGGATTCTGAAATTAAAATTCATATAAATACAATTGAATCGAATTGGTATCAATAAAAGCATCTTTTCCATATTATAGAACTTCTAAAAATCTATATAATACTTATTTTATTAAATATATATAAAAATAACATTTTATTTAAAATAATAATGATGCATTAATAAGCTTGTAGAACATATTGTATTATAATAAAAATTTAGAAAAGATAGACCAACCAGAAAATTAAAAAAATAAATACTTGATTATTATATCAAGATACAGAGTATTTAATAAAATACTCTAATTCATATATATATAAATAAAAATTCTATTTCTACTAATATTCAACTGCTTAGAATATTTTTATTATTAATGTTAAATTAGATTTAAAAAAGAAATATATAAATTAAGGCATTTTAAATTAATTTTTATATCAATGTTAGAATTTTAAGCTCAAGCATAAAAGGAAAAGTTAAAATTTAAACAAATACTAACTTTAAACAAAATACCAAAATATTGTTTTTTTATAATTTTTTCTAAAAATTATTATTATTTATATCAAAATTTCTCATGTATCTTGTTTTTAAGTAAATTCTATTATATTATTGATTTTTTTAATTTTCAAGAAGACAACTACAAAGTAAAAAGAGATGATATTAATCTAAAATTTAACTTGAAATAGTCTTAGTAATAATACTAATAAAATAATAATAATTAAAAAAAAAAGTAATATTTAAATTAGAAAGTTATATTAGATTTATTTCACATGAAACTATAAAGTAAATTACTATAAATATATAAAAAATGATATAATTTTCTAATTTAGCAAATAATATATTATTTAAATAAAGTTATATTCAATCAACTATTTCTAGTATTAAAACCTAATTATAAATATATAATATGAATTTATTTAAATTGAAAAGAATTACTTCATATAATGTTTATTGTTATTTTTTTTTGTTTTTTTTAAAATTATATTAGCAATTAGTTTAGACTAAGTGATTTTTATTAAAAAATTAATAATGTACATAATAGTAAATAAGTAATTAACTGAGTTGATCAGAATGATAAAAACTACTCACTAAAGAAATGATTATAATCATATTATAAGTTACTATAAGAGTAGTCAATAATTTTTCATTCACTAAAGCAAGTTAGTTTTGAGTAGTAAAATGATAGAATTATATATTCACTACTTAGAAATGAGTTAGGTGAGTTAGATAGATCACAAAAAGAATTTTCTTTACATTTATAGTAAAAACAATTTTGTTCTCATTGTTCTTAGCTCTTATACTTATTTGTTCTTTAAAAATACTATTCCTATATTTTCTTGTTACTTATACTAATATACATGTTATTAGTATATGTAATTCATAATTGCATCAGAACTTCTTATGATGTTATTTCACAAAATTTTATATTATATATAACAACTAAGTTACAGATATGTTACTTTTATCACTTCTATCATTTAAAATAATTTTTTAAAAATAACTTACTTAAGAGAATTCTTTTATAATTTATAACAATATTACTACTACATATATAAAAATTATAACTGAACTAAATAATACTAACCTTCAGAATATTACTATATCATTAGTTTCCTATGATATTACTATGACTATTGATGCCCAAGTAGATATTATATATTCTGAACTTCTTCAAGTGACTAGACAAGAAAAAAAAAACTTTAGTATATGTTTTTTATTTAGATTAATTACTAAAAGCATTTACAATATCATTAATTCAAAGAACTATTTTATGAAATCATTTAACCAAATATTATGCTCTTGTTGCAACTCACACATATTATATTTTTAATAAATAGAAAGTAGAACAAATTATAAGAACTAATTTAATAAGTTTAAGAGCTATTATAGACTTAAAAAAAGAAGAATAACATATGTTAACCTGTTAAAATGAGAATTGTAATAAGCATATTTATATTCACATGATTAAAGTCATGCTTTTTTCTTCTATATTTTAATCACTTTTATAAAAGATAATAAGTGAATAATATTAAATAATTTATAAATATTATTTATAGCCAATATACTGTAATAAACTTATTGAAATTAAATATACTATAGTCATTTTTGCTCTACTTGTAGATATTTTTGCTTTTAATTTTATTAAAATCTAGAGATTGATATTGAATCTTTAATTTACCAAATATTTGAATTAATTTGATTTAAAATTTTAGAAATTTCTATATGACAATATTATACTTAAGATTATATAAAGAGATAAAATATCTAATATGCTTATTTATTGTAAGCCTGATTTTTTTATGAATCATGAGGGCCTAAATTGAGCAATGATCCCTACCCAATTCAAAGCTATGTGAAAAGTAACAGAAATGTTACTTTTGTTACTTTTCTTACTTCTGTTATTTCTGTTACTTATGTTATTTTTTTTACTTATATGATAAATGAGATATCAGTTTTTTTTAAATATAATTAGAATGCAATGGATATTAGATTTATGTTAGAAATTAATAACCAATGTAAATAAAAGTTTTATTATAAATAAAGAACCTTCTGCCTAGGGGAAAAGTAATAAGTGATACCTTCAAGTTAATACATTTACTAAAATAAACTTAAGCATCAAATCCATATTGAAAGTAAAACTATATCTTAACCCAAACTGAAAACTATCATTAAACTCATTGTCATCAACTATTGTTCACCCATTATTAAATCACTAAACCACATTTTGATCATTCTTTAAGTCACATGACCAAGTCATTGATACAAGAAAAGAACTCCAACCCGATTCAATGTTTCGTAACCCCAGGTTAAAGAAGTAAAGAGAGGACAAGAGAAGGCAAGAGTTAATAGAAGAATAGGTTGAAGGAAAAGACACAAAGAGAAAAGACTAGTACTTACCTACGAATAAACCACTAACCAAATCTAACATGCCTATTTCGACTTAGCTGCCATAGGTTACATGAGGGCGAACGATAGTTAATGACGATTGGTTTAACGATAGTTTTCAGTTTAGGTTAGGTTATAGTTTTACTTTCAATATGGGTCCGATACTTAGCAAATGTATTGACTTGGGGGTATCGCAGTTACTTTCCCCCTGGGCGGAAGGCCCTTTATTTATAATAAAACTTTTATTTACATTGGTAATTAATTTCTAACATAAATGTAATATCCGTTACATCCTAATTATATTTAAGAAAAGGCCGATATCTCATTTATCTCATAAGTAAAAGAAATAGCATAAGTAACAGAAGTAACGGAAGTAAGAAAAGTAACAGAAGTAACATTTCTGTTACTTTTCACGTGACTTCGAATCGGGTAGGGATCGTCGCTCGATTCGGGCCCTCGTGATTCCCAAAAAATCGGGCTCACAATAAACATAAGGACCCAATCGAAACCATGAGATCGAATCGTACACCAAGCTCCAGCATGGAGACCACCACCCACCCAATAAGGAAAAGTCGATCAAGACTTACCTGTTCGCACCGTAATGGCTGGGAATGGACTTTAGTATAATATTACCCTGTTTGGGTAAGGGTGAGGCAGTGGTTAAAGGAGTGCGATTGTGGTGACAATGTTAGCATTTTATCACGGGAAAAGTGGCACTGAAACATTTTTCTTCTGTGCTCTTTCGACTGTGAGAAATGCTAAAGTAACGAAAGGCTGTGTATGAAAGGGTAAAAAGTTTGTACTAAAAAGATGAAACAAGGTGAGAATCCAATGAATGTAATAGAGAAAGGTTACGGCCTTGTATGTACCTTTCGTACGGTAGAATTTGTTATAAAAGAGGTGGAATTTTCCCTCTTGTAAAAGTAGTCTAGACAAGTCAAGAAAGTGTGCCCTAAATAATAAAATCGTTAAAAGGACCCCTCTATCATATAAGATTCCGTAGCGACAATTCGTCGCATTCCTTCTATCTGCGTTTCCACCATCCAGCCAGTGACAACACCAATAAAATAAGGTCTTCCTGGACTACCTAATCCGACACACTAACAATTCCAACAACCTATCGAGAGAGGTGTGTCATATTTGGCGAGTGGGCAAGTCAAGGCTTCGGTCGTCGATGCTTCGAGGTAGCACTTTATCGACAATAACCTCGATAATCTGGACTATAGTTGCAGGTGAAACTAATTTTAAGTTCCACCAAGTTTTACCATGAAGTTTTTCATTGGCTGTTCTATTTAGTTTCACCAGTTTCACCTGCAACTCTAGTCTGGACTAGGGGTGGGTCCGGTCGGTCACGGTCGGTTATCGGTCGGTTATTGGCGGTCATTGACTCATAACCGACCGACC